TTTTTTTTGGTTGCAGCCATCACTGTTGTTTGGCGGGCCAGGGTTGGATTTGAACCCGCCACCTTAGGTGTATGTGGCTGGCACCTTAGCCACTTGAGCCACAGGCTCAGAGCCAGTAAGTCTTTAGACTTGAGGAAAACCAGTTTGCTTTCTCTGGTAAATAAGTTGTTAATAGCTGATCTCAAATTATATATAGCCTGGCTATTTTCTTGTTGCAGTTTGGGCAGGGTCAGGTTTGAACCCACTACCCTCGGTATATGGGGCCAGCGCCCTACTCACTGAGCCACAGGCACCGCCCCTCAAACGAGATATCTTTTAAAAAGTCACCCAATTGGGCAGCACCTGTGGCTCTGAGTTGGACGCCAGCCCCATATACCAAGGGCGGTAAGTTCGAACCTAGTCCCGGCCAAACTGCAACAACAACAAATTAGCTGGGAGTTGTGGTGGGCACCTGTAGTCCCAGCTACTTGGGAGGCTGAGGCAAGAGAATCTCCTAAGCCCAAAAGTTGGAGGTTGCTGTGAGCTGTGACACCACAGCACTCTACAGAGGGCGACAAAGTGAGACTTTGTCTCTAAAAAAAAAGTCACCCAATGAACATCACCACCCTAGTGCAAGATGCAGAAATAGATTGTGCCATCTGCAGAGACACAGTAGCAGATAAGACCCGACCCAACCCATGCTGCAAGTTCCCAAGAACCTAGAACAGAGAGACGCCAAGAAATTTTGAGACAGAAGCTGGAGAGGGAGCGTTTTAATATACAGACAGTAGGGACAGGCCAGAGCCTCACTAGTGCAAGGTGTCTGTGGCCTGGGGACTGGTTAGAAGCGCAGGCTCTCAGCCCCACCCCAGACCTTCCATTTCCCGAGATGCCGGCCATTTGTATGAACAGAAATTCTCGCAAAACTCTGGGCTAGACCATTTACTAATGTAGGATTTTACAATGTGTTTTGAGGTCAAAATAAACTCACTTAAAGACTTTTTAGCTTGTCTTTGCCTCCATTCTCTCTATTCTGAGCAGAGTTGACACATGTCACTGTTGCTGCTCTGGGACCTCCAGCCTCTGCTACGAGCCACAGCGGCCCAGAGAAGTTTGCTGCACCTTTCTGTAGACAGCTGTAATGGGGTCAGAATTGCATTCCAAAACTCCCCTTGGTTGCTCTTTGGGTGGCACTCCCAGGAGGTAGGTTGTGTGAAGATTTTCTCTTTTTAGAGAAAAAAGGGCCCAAGGAAGCTTTGAGGCTCACTTGGGGTACCAAGCAAATCAGCCTGGTGGCCAATCCCAGCCAAGCTGAGAGCGTGAGCTTCTGGGTTTCTGGTATGGGCCACATCCAGCTTTTCTCTCTCCATTTTTATAAGGGGGGGTGGTTTGCATTAGAGATTTTTTTTTT